GAAATGTATTGTGTTCTTTTTGAAGTGGCACCGTGCTTCCAACGGTAACATTTATGGTGCTACCTCACTTTAATACTACAGCACAAATACCGCAACATCCACTCCAGACCACTTTATACTCCACCTGGGTTGTTAGAGTTGTTTAGATGAGTTTGAACTTCAGTCCAAATGCATATTCAGTTGTTTTTTTATATTGTTTGAGCAGGAGGCATATCTATAACATAATTCCTTGGAATCTTCTACAAGAAATTAGGTGGGGAGACATTCAACGATTAAAAAATTGTATTAATAACGCTGGGGATAGTGGCTCAACGACCAAAGGTGAACGATCCGTACTGTAAATAGCTGTCGCTATTTTTGCAAAACGAATTCGTGAAGTACCTTTAAGAAACTTGACATCATTGTATCAACAAGGGAACTGTTTTTGACATCCAAGGTTTAGATGCCCCTCACATTTTCGTCCTAAAGAGCGACGCTGAAATATATCGCTTGCTTCAAAAGGCAGGTTTTGAAACTGAGTTTTAAAATAAAGATTGGAAAAATGTCTATGATTTAGCAAGTGAGAAAGATGAAACCAACTGTTGGATCTGATTGAAAAACCACGGAACATTGGTGTCGAAGGTAAGATTGATACGTAAAAAGCCTTGTTGAGAATTGTTTTTTTGTGGATATACATGCATATTAAAAACACGCCTCTTTAATTGTATGAATTAAAAAGAAATATACGCAATCGGAGGCGTATAGAACGGAGACTATACAGTAGTTTCCATAATTAAATGTTGCTCGCTTTTTATGCATTTGAAAATGCCTTTTTGTGAGCTAAGTGATAAATAAATGTGTAACAAATATAGGTATGTGTAAAAAATATGTGTTTAATTCATTTATTTTTCTTTATTTATCTATGTATGCATTTATGTTTAGTCTAACATGGATGTTTAATCTATGCAAGAAATCAAAAAGAAATATATATATAACAAAGTAGAGGATTTATCGGAAAAAAGATTATTAATGTTTTAGGCATTTTGAACCGTCTTCGACAGAAACACCAGAATGTACAGTAGGGCAAACTGATTTTAACTGATACCACTGACGTTCAACTCGACGGTGTTTGTACGAAAACAGCTGGAATAAAAACGATAAACAAAAATACAAGCAGTTTTGAACAAGACATAATGACAAAATGAAACGTGTTGTGGCAGCAAAAAACGACGCTCTTTGGAACAATCATGAAAACCTCAGTGGATTTCGTATTTCATCGATCTGTACTAGAAGAGAAAAATCATTCGCAACAACTGCTGATGTTTTGGTGCATGTTCAAAGGGTTCATACCTGAGAAAAATGAAGAATTCCCCGCATCTTGAGGTGTGGGGGTTCTTGTTTTCCTGTTGACATTCGGGGTGCACATACTTTGTGTTTGGCTAATCACTCGTCTGAGAGACTTGAACCTTTTGCATTTGAAGGCTGTATCATCGGAAGTTGTGCGGATAACAAAACGTACGGGACAATTGGACATCTATTGATGCTGTCGTCGTGAAAATTACGTTTCCCTGGTCAACTGTATTCGTTGCTTCTAAAGAAGGCGCATCCTTTGCTAAATGTTTGAACAATTTTGCCGATCATGAATCCAATAAATGTAAAAATTATATTTCGCAAATGCTTTGATTACCATGTGTAATATATACGGACCAAAAAAAATACTACTGAGATACTTTTAGTAGTTTATCGTAAATAAAACGACTACGACAAAAGATGTTTTATAAAACAAGTATCTATATGTGGTGCAAAGTTTCGCAAAATCGACTCTTGAAAGATATCACAAATAAAACTTATCAATTTCGTTATTGCAAAATCTTGTTGACATTCTGAAATATATTCCCATTACTTTCCTAGTTTGAAATCACTGTATCTGAATTAACCTGCCACTATATTGAATATGTAAAACATATTTTCTCGAGCAATTTCAGTAATGACAAATTTGTATTACAGGGTTTAGTTTCAACACGGGTGCCATTGGAGCATACACGATAGATGATCATCTTTTGAAATTCGGAGTTTTCACTCCAGTTTTGGATTGTCGTTGTTCAGACATATGACACGAGGAAAATGTTGAGTATCCCCAGGGTAAAGTTCTTATGAGGGGTTTAACACAAATACTGTGTCGTGTCAGTCATGAGAAAGGTGACTCTGGAGGGGGAGTGTTTGTGAAAAATGCCGAAGGCAAACTCGAGTGTGTTGGACTGTTCTTTGCTGGAAGAGGCCGAGAGGGATATTTTATTCCCATCAAAGATGTTTTGGCGCAATGTGGGGGCTACAAACTCAAAGCATATCCCCAAACTTCCTTGAAATAACACTGCTTTGACAAAAGCGATAATCGTTGTATATAGTTCCTCCTTAATCGTTCTGCAAGTTGTGAAAGATAAGAACGATTTCGAAAAAAATGTTTCCTTGAAATAGCGTTATTGGTGTCAATTGTTTTATATATACTGCTGTTGTCGTTATTCTTGAAAACAAATACCTAACATAACATTCTATATTTAATCACGTGTTTAAGTTGTTCGATTGTATTATGAAATTAACGGTGTTAACGAAAATTAAGATAATCCGATTTGTACTCTTCCTAAGATTTAATCTTTAGTAGATACTCATCTCAACAATAGTATGTTATTGATTACAATTCCAACAGGTAAGGACATACATATATAGATAATTCTATAACAGGTCAAAGGTAATTGCAGTAAAATAAATCACCATAATATGTATACCGTTGATTACAAGACTAAAGTCAAATATTGTTCTGTTAAAGCGGCTATTTAGTCAAGCAAAACCATCAATACCAATTAGATACTGAAATATAGATCTCCTAACGAAAGTCTACGTAGTTGGTAATAACATGAAACCAACGTCCAGTGTGGTCAGTTTTATCTTTTGGGAAAGTCGGTAATAAAAAATAACTACGACCGAAATAGCGCAATATATGGGCCTTTCAGCAAGAAATAAACATTGTGTGATATCTATAGGTAAAACTTAAAAATATATTACTCGTTTATAACGATGATTAGGTTGTTTGGATCGATTTAGAACAAATGCCAGTACTTGTTTTCCGATGAAGTTAGGTGAACAAAGCGATAATTTACCTTCTCTCCGCGGCTCAAAGACACAATTAACCGACAGTTACCACTAAAACGTACGGTTGCACAGTTACGAGTTTCTTCATTACTGAACAGGAACGCCAAGAAAACGTTGTCTCTTGTCAGAGTATTGATATGTGTTGTTCATAAGGAATATCAAAATATATTTTCATGTAGGATTTTTAAACCAGGTTTTTGAAAATAACTTACTTCACTAAATTATCCCTTTAAGACCCCTGTCCCACTACAGGCAAAGCACTAGAGAACTCCACTGCAGTTCTTAATATACAGAGTCACCTCCCATTAATACATTTTGATGTAACTGTAGCGCAACAGAATGGCAATATTATAGTGATCGGGGATCCTAGGTTTATATCCTTTTTCAGATTTCGTTATATTTTTTAATTAAATTCACTGTAGATTCTTTATTTCATCTCATTCATGTTTTCATAAAAGTTTGCAAGTGATTGATTTGTTTTTACAAAGCTGTACTCATGACATAAAAAATAATGCCAGTGCATAATTATAGTTGAAGGTACGGCAGATTGATTGATTAATTGATATAACACTATATGTATAAGATAAGTTAAACCTTATTCATTTTCTCAATAATTTCAATAAGATAATATTTACTTCTTTTTTATATATCACAATCAGTTCAATACCTTTTTTTCTCTTCGAAAATTTATCAGAAATAAACAATTTCATTTGTCGAAAAACTTCGATTATAGAAAGCAAAACTTCTGTAAGAGGCAACCGGGATGATAATGTACCATGATAAATTAAGCTTTTCAACATCACTGTGTACAAACTAATACATTAAACACATATATGTTTTTTTTATTTCGTCTTCGACAACAGCGGTTAGTTCACTAGCTAACGCCATCCTGAGATGACCTTCACATTTCCAAGGTCCTTATCGCATAAGTGAGCAAATTGACCACTGCCCAGTACTCTCCAAATATAAGCAGCACGTGTTTTCCCATACGGATATCTGAAATGTCGAAATTGGCTAATTTCCTCAAAATAGTCAATTTGTAAGGTCGTAAGAGTTGCTTCCCCTATGTCAGTAAAAAATGAACAGGGGTCGCTTCTCAATATATTTTTTAGGGAGGCTCTACCCTTCAGCAGTTAAACAGCAGATTTCGTTGAAACATTAACATAATACTTATTTAACCATGTAGAGGTGTTTTTAAGAAAACCTAAGCAATCTCATAAATTGGTGATTTAAAGGGGGAAAATATCCAAACATTCAGATTTTGTCAATTTTTACGTATCATATCATATTTGTTGGGATGTGTGTGTCAGACATTGTTTGGAACGATAACAAAAAGTAATAAAGGAAAAGAGGCATTGTTAATTTACCAAAACAAAATTTCATTTTTCACAAATATGTTAAAAAAGTTATACAAATAGTATTTTTTTCTTTGAAATTGTAATAATAAATGTGATTAAACAAACGTAATATATAGTTTCTTGTAAAACGGAGGAAAAAGACCAAAAAAACCCCACTATTTGTTATTCCTTTCACTTATTTTTCATTTTACAATAATTTTGATTTCGATGGGGGTTGTCTTCCTTGAAAAATACCGGAACTTTTTGCAGAGGGATAAATATTTTCATAAAAACAGTTATCTCCCTTCACGTACGTAAAATGGAATTAAATCAAAATTGTCCCAATCACATATAAGCTGAAAAAGAGATGAACAAAGTATTGCGTATGCCTAGTGTTATAAAAATCTAACTTTCCTGGTATTCTGAACTATATGTTTTTGTATTTTTTATAAATATATAGTCATTATATGTCAAAACATATCGACAATAAAATATATCAAAATATAAAACAATGTTTTACTCTTTTATGGATACAAGTTTCTCTCGATCATGTGGACAAGGGACATCATTCCACAGCCTGCTTGCGCATGGTCTATATACCTGTCAAGGTACGTGTAATCAGAGGCTATCGCGCATTTTATGCCCTTTTCACGTGCATCCACACATGTATATATGTACTGATATTTTATAAAATGCTCTATTTTCACAGAGTTAGTGCAAGACAATTGTAAGAATGACTTATTCGAAAGAGCGTAACTCGTTGGACAGTAAAATCGTTACCAAATCGTAAACTGGTGTATGTTTGTTACAACTATATCTGGACCTAAATTAAGGTGTTCAGAGTAGTTTTACACGTTCTGTGGGTTTTAATAAACTTTCGGTAAAACTGCCACCATCAATGAAGGGAGGAACGATCGCGATGTTAAAAAACAAATGCATTGCGTGTTTAAAGGAAGTTTTCATTGATTGTTTTAATTATCTTAATGTCTTAGGTTCAATGAATCATCGCTAGAAATAAACAAAGAACTTCAAGTCAACCGCACATTAACTGTATTCATTCTTGCAAAACGATAGGGTTAATGAGGAGATAAATGAATAAACTACTTGTTAAATTTTGAAATATTTATAAAGATGAAGTAAAGGAAGTAGCTCCATCAATTACGTACAAACCTTCGTTTGATCCTTCAATGATAAGAGGAACAAAAACATTATTTAATGTAGTTGTATGATGACACGGAGTGTTGAGCACTTCAGCTTGTAACTTTCTCTCAACAAACAATTTATGCAGGATTCCTGTCCCATCGCCGGCAAAACACTCCATAACGCCATGTTTGTATTTACCATAACGTCCCCTTATATTTATTTTCCGTTTCGAAGTAAACTGGTATTGACGATGTCGAAACCTGGTCTTCTATACTGCAGACTTACAGACAGAGCAATTTTTTTCAATCCCTTTCTTTATCGTTTTTCATAATTTTTGGCATACCCATCCTCAATGCTCTAAGGGCTACGCTCATTTACTCTCTCTGCACCCATGGAATATGTCATAGCAAAATCGAAGGCTCAGTGTGCGCCTCCTTAAGGATTAGACAAGATGCCTAGTTGATCCTGTCATATACACTAAACGAATATCGCGGCCGCTAATCGGAATAATTGACTGGCTTTGAAGTCGGATGTCACTCCCTTGTAATCTTCAGAGGACACGCATCAGCATGCGATTGGTCTGATTTTTTTTCACCTGATGCCAATCAGAAAACTAGCCGCGTGCCTTCAACTCTGCTATCACATATTCTAGTGGTGCAGAGATCGAAAGCAGGCGTAACTCTTGGAATACCGGGGAGGTGTCATTACATGCGCGAGCAATTGTCATCGTCATTGTGCTTAAATTAAGTTTAGGAACGTTTGTTCATTATGTGTAATTGCGACCTTAAACTTTACCTTTGTACAAGGAAACACAAACGCGTTCGTGATATTGTCATGCATGACCACTATATGAAGTTTGATTCAAATCAGTGGAGATCCTCCACGACATCGTCTCGAGGGGATAAACATACTTTAGTTACTATAAATGTAATATGCAATATATAATATATGTAAGTATTTCAACAGTCAATCATATAATGTTCTAAAACCCGAAATCAAATTATCAGTGATAACTTGTCACGTGTGACGTCTGAATATCATTCCTGTCCTGGTAGGTATTGTTCATCTTCATCTTCAAGGAAACACTTCGTGTTCGACCCTGAAAACAAAAGTGGTACTTTTAGATTCGATACAAGTATTAATCAATACCAATATATATGCATAAATTTTCTGCACATTGTATAGCAAATTATGTACTCTATATACTGCTTACGTCTTGATTGAATCGCGATGTCGTTTTAGCGAATTATCGTATGTTTACGCATAAGCGCATGGAAGAAGCGGTGCACACCTACAATATTTGCAATACAAAGTCTACATTATTGAATTCCAAAAAGTGCAATCATAATTTGCGCAATACTGATAACACAAAAAATGCGAAAAAGTACTTTTAAAGTACAAAATCCATAAAACCTACGCCGCACACAATAATATTGTACGTAAAACTACAAAAAATAATATCAGGCTTTCTTTACAATGATTCGCTTCAGGACACACAAAGGTATACAAACATAGGAAGATATTACTCAGGTGACATACCAGGAGTTAGCGCTTGAAAAGGCAGCTCCTGCGAATTTCTCAATACTGATTATTGTATATGCTAATTGTATTGATTGTGTGAGGTGTATATCTATGTACTGTAAAACGCTTTAGAGTGGCTTTTCTTAGCTAGATAGGGAGTTATTATTAAATTCAGTGTACCCTTAATGAAATACATGTTACTGTTTAATTAAATGTACGATAAAATGAGCACGTGTCTTCAATTTCTCTATGAACTATTCCAGGGATACATATACCGAAAGTGGGATTAAGGATCCCCGTCCCTCCGCCTAAAAACGTAATGAGGCATTGTTTTTGTGTGTCTACGACATCTCTATTCCATAAGCAAACTATTTGTGATCAATAACTCATACCTTGCTGGATTTTCTTCAGTTTTTTTGGGAAATCATGAAATTTCGATTTTTTTATTGATTTTGTTCCAATTGAACAAAATGGAACAAAAGATATGTTATTCGATGCAACAATGGTTTATTACAAATATTTCACATAAAAGATAATAACAATGTCAACAATGATGAACAAAATACAAAAAAACTTTGTAATTTTCTAACAATAATACTAAAACAAACAAAAATTCTTATCAAATTAATCAATAAAATGCCGGGTGCCAATGCAACACGTTAAGGACAACGAAAAGAAATTATAGGTGACAAAAAATAAATATCTTGCTGACTTACTTATTGTACAAAAAAAAAGGGAGACAACTCTTACATTTGTACCAATATTAATTATAAATCTCAAAAAGTCATATATACAATTTACAACTTACAATATAGCACTTTTTATATACCAATATAATACAGTAGACATACCAACTAATAAAATTACTTCAAATGTAATGACCAATATAAAACAAATTGCACATTGTGTATAAATAACATTATAACAAACAATGTACTTTATTGTGTCATAGCAAAAATGTCACAACAACAATAACAAAGTTCCACATACTTTACACAACAATAATACATTTCTAAATACTGCACAAATAACATACTATGTTGTGATATAAAAAATCACACTATACAACAATAATAAAGTTTTACATTCTGAACAAAACAATAATAAACTTACCATAGTGTGATATAAAAAAAATATCACATTATATTGCAATAATAAAGGTCGTCAATATATACAGATAACAACATACTATATATAGTGTGGTATAATAGATATCATAATATAAAACAATAATAAACTTTAAAATTATGTACAAATAACAACATACATTAGTGTGGCATAAAAATATAACATTGTAAAAATCACTGTTGTATGTAATATAAAAAAATAACTTGAAATATAGGCCTATTGGGAATATAATAACAAATCAAACAAAGAGCACAGAGAAGCATTATCCTTGTATAAACGTGTCGACAAATAAACATACAGTTCCAAGTTTCATGCAGAGTTTTAAAAGTGCTTGGAAATACTCCGATGCGTCTTTTTACACCTTGTCACACGAACTTTCAGTGTTGGGTTGACAAATTCAGACAAGACATTTGAAATTCCTGAAACCCCACCATCACATCAACATCACACTGAATATATACGTGTGCTACATGTAGACGATATAAAAACCGGAATAACGCACTCTCTGCTTATTTTTTATGTGGCGTCTCTCCACCACACCAAACACTTTTTTGAGGAGAGAGTCAGTTATTTGGGACTTATGTGTGACAAATATAAAAATATAATCTTGACTTATGATGCCGTGTGATACTTACTTGTATGTATTCAAGACTTCCAATGCCATAATGTCTTTCCTGCTGGGTATTACACAACCGTAGCCTAGTGCCGCATTCCTTACAACCTTTCTGGTGCAGTTATTCCGATAGCACCGCGAGTTCAACCACACGTCTACCCTGCGACCAGGTTAAACAGTTATTGGTGTATTCTTGGTCACTGTTAGTAGTACTGAAGGGATCCTCATCGGTGTCGGCTCCTCAGTCAAATTGGCAGTAGGGGCCCCAGTAGATAGCGTCTCTTCAATGTGTGAACGAGTGTCACATTTTCTTGTCGCATAGTCGTGGTCAAGCAGTTCATATTGGACATTGTTGTTGTTATTATTGTCAGTATATGTGTTTCGTTTACATTTAAAACGGCCGTTTTTGCGTCGGGCTTGCGTGTCTGTCATGACTGCTACGGCGACGTTGTTTACATCGTTACGACAGCTTTTTCCCCTCACTTTCGCGATTGGAGATTTTCAACGCAAGGGACACAACTCTGTAGTCGAAACGTTATTAAAACGAAATCAATTCAAGGTTAGATAACAACATTGTCGAAATGGTTATCAGGTGCAGGTGACTCTAACACTGAAAAACGACAGTGGAATTCTTTAGTGTTTTGCTCTGGATAGGACGGGGATCATAAACTCTTGGATTATTAAAGATGGACCATGATTTGAACCCTAGATTTAATTCATATTTTGTGGTTCGAACAAACTAATCTACTGGTTATCGGAAGTATTCTAGCTCTGTCTTGATAAAATATATCGAAATCAAAATCAAAGGGAGGTAACACATACAGTGTATGTTTGTAAGATAACTACAGAGGAATTCTGTAGACTTTTCCCTGCATAGGAACAATTATCTTGAACCAAACATTACCTTTTTTTGCAGATAAAAAAGAAAGTTTTGCTGCACCTAACATCATTCCATTGAAAGAGTGTCCTTCCGTACAGCATCAGACATTCTTCACCAAGATCCTGGTGATTGTTTGGTTCGTTTGGTGCCCAGTCAGTATATCCAAATTGCTCACCAGTCCTTCTCCAGATCCATTTACGTTCCGTAGTGCTTAGATATCCTCCAAGAAAATAATCACCAAGTTCTGGGTTTTCTAAAAATAATGATCATTTACGAAATTAGGAATCCATAGTCGATTTGCTATATTGCGCAGTAACATAATTACTTTATGTTTTTTATAAAACTATTGCTGTCATATTTTTCATATTTTCCACTTAAATATCATTTCTATATAAACCTTGTTGAATATCTAGAAAACAAACTTCCCAAAATATAACAATAACGTCTTTTACGTTTGATAATGAAAAATGACCGAATGGCACAAACGTGATAACGCCTCTACAATTTGTCTCATATATAGTATGCCATATACAAATTAAACTACATCGCTGGTTCGTCCTTTTGAGACTCATAGGTGATGCTAGGGACTGAAATGTTGGCGATACAAAATTGTTTAAACGACAATTTACACGAATTATAAAATGAAGGACACACAGTTTGATTTCCAATCAATAACAAGTAAAATGTGTAATCACGAACAGTGCCACATCGAGGTTACGGCAAACCTCGGGAACTAAGAAACCAACTAGCAGAACTTCCGAATGTACCGTTAAAAGACTCATGCATGTCAAGGGGTGTAGGAAAGGGAAATTCCAACCGAGGGGTTTTCAAATTTCCTAAATTTCGAGGCTTTGCGCTTTAAATTGACGCAATCAGGATTTAATGCAATATTTACAGAGAAAAATGCGCTAAAATAAGACTACCGCTAAAATGTACACGTCTACAGCATGCTTATTTCAGGCACCTTCATGGCGTCTGCTCAATTCCATCTTGACAAATCGATTTTCTTCATCACTTTGAATGTCTGCTAGGTAGGCGTTCATGTCCTGGCATTTTTCCTAGAAAAAAACCCTTGTCATTTCAGTTAACATCCTCGAAATTTCATGGGTTATGCTCACTTAAGTTAGTGCAAAGAATGTAAGTGAGATTTTACCCCTGGAATTTTAGAAATGTAAAGTTTCAGATAAAACAATATACAGCTGCTAGTGTCAAGCATATTTCTGGCATTTTTTTTTTTTCAATAGTGTGAAAGTAAAAAAAAAATACATCATATGGAAGATGTACGTAAGAAAAATACATTTACCTAAATTGATAATTTTTACAGTATGCTAAAATGAGATTACATTTTCAAAGGACAATGCATCTGTTTCGTCCATCCTGGAATTATCTGAATAAAATAAGAAAGTGTATAGCAATGCAATGTATCAGTATCATCACTTGACCTCAAGATAAGAAGATTGACCAATGAAATTACGTCAAGTGTGTTACTAACTAATCGGTAACCCAAATTATGTCCAATGATTCGGGAGAGGGGAAACCTTTGTGATTTTGCCAGAAAATAAATGTATTCGCATTATGAACAATTGTGAAGCAAAATTATAGACTTACTATTGCCTCTTGCCATGTTTTGCGTGACTGAGAAAACAGGTAACAATGATTAGCATTGTATAACCATCCAGGATCACATCTCAACAAGATCACACCTGCAATAAGAAGACAGAGAAAAAAGCGATAAAACACGTGATTTCCATGGCAAAGTTTGGTTAAACGTCTACGATACATTGAAGCATTAAATACACAAAAAATGATTATCGACGAGGTATCGCCTACCGGTAGTAAGGCTTATTTGTTATAATGGGTTGCAAGTAAGAGAATAAGTTTGAGAACGACATGAGAACCATGTCCTGCTGAAGAATGTATTTTCTGAATGAAATTCGTCTGCTCACGCCATTTGTCGTCCTTAAATGGAAAAAGTGTTCCGCCTAGCTAGTTCGTCATAAACCTACCATTTTGGGATTATAAAACAAAAGATTGTGAGGAAAAAACATCAGTTACGCGTAAATGTGCATATTGAGAAGCCGACGCTCTAAAATGTATTACAATATCTTTCTATATAGTTTTAAAGTTCATGGAATTCCTCTGCGAAAATCTGTTTATTAACAATTGTCCAAGACTGATAATCTGGTATTTTGTTCACGTCTGGATTTATTACACGGGTTAGCGATGAGAGAAATATGTTCAAAACAAACCCTGAAAACACAGTGTGATATTCTATAATTACAACTCTTAAACAATTGAAGATATGATATTACCTCTTAAAGTAGAAACGTGCTCTTCATGCAGACGTCTGTTGTTTTCGGCTTCTGTCTGAAGGAGAAGTCTGTTGTTTTCGGCTTCTGTCTGAAGGAGACGTCTGTTGTTTTCGGCTTCTGTCTGAAGGAGACGTCTGTTTTTTTCGGCTTCTGTCTGAAGTATGCGGCGTATCTCAGGTAACGCATGCTCCATGATATCCGAGGTCTGTAGAGCATTACAGTGTCTCCTTTTGTGTTCGGGAAGGATATTTTGTTGGTAAGAAGCATCAACTTGTAGTAAAACTATCAACATCAGCACCACACACTTCATTGTTAATTTTATCTGCTTTCGTATTTCCTGTAGATGGAGTTTTCAAATATAGGAAGTAGGCCTAGTTGGACAATTCAGTACGCGTTAGATGTTGTTTGCGTGTCAATTCATCTAAAATAAATACGATTGCTGGTTAGCAATATATACACTCACATCATATAGCATTGCCTCACGAAGGCTGAACTTGACTATGTTACCGAAAATTATCATTTTCACTTTCATTTTCCTTCGTCATTGGTCTATCCAAGTACTTTATATCAAGTGCTTGAACAACTTCCTTGTGTGTATCACACAGCACATCGAACAACAAAAGTGGACTTATTGTTTGTATAACTACTACTTATTGTGATCGCGTCATTCAGAGGCCATAACCAAGGCTCTCTTAGCAAGATCTCTCTTACATTGTGTAAATTTCCTTTTTAATATAGTGCTTGAACACGACAGCAAATTTACTGGAACACAGATTATATAGCGTCATAGTTCTAACGTTCACTAAGTGTTGTATACGGTTTCATCTTTGGCCCCTCCGGTCGATCCCTACTATAGACTCCTTCTCCAGAGGCTCACATTTCCGAACATCAACTTCCAACTCTCACTCTAGACGTCTAACCCCCTATAAAATCCCCCCAAGTACTTTTAACAATCTATACAACATCAACTGTTGGTGAATAGACACCACCTATGTACATAATCCACCAACCATTTTCCTCAATGCAACATTGCTTCCAGGATTGCTCTGGGGTCTGTTTTACCCTTGGATACTTAACCCGTGGGTCATAACTTCGAAAAGGTTAAGATCACCACCTCAAATCAATCTATACAACATTAACTATTGGTGAATAGACACCACCTATGTACATAATCCACCAACCATTTTCCTCAATGCAACATTGCTTCCAGGATTGCTCTGGGGTCTGTTTTACCCCTGGATACTTAACCCGTGGGTCATAACTTCGAAAAGGTTAAGATCACCACCTCAAAACAATCTATACAACATTAACTATTGGTGAATAGACACCACCTATGTACATAATAATGAGGTACGTGCAGCAATTTAATATATCTTCTAAGCTAACTTCCCTCTTCCGAAACAGCAATGCTAGATATACCATATGACAATGGCAGTTACATGTACACATGTCTGTTTTGGGGAGTTCACATTCTCCCGGTCCTATCTCTATGTTATCCATGACTGACCTGGTCGCCACTAGATGGATAGCACTAAAGCATTATCTACAATTCCACAGTCCTCCGTCAATCAATGCACGGTGTTACCTCAAATGTACTTTTGACCAAAGTGCTGCTCTCTTTAGATACCCACTAGCTTACATGTTATTGGATGGTTTAATTCTTTATCAATTAATTACCTGATTTACAGCCCATTACGGTACATACGCTTATTGGTCTACGTGTACTTTGATGTATCTTCAAAAAGAGGCAGCATTAAGCTTATAGGTATCTGTGTACATTTATTTATCTTCAAAAAGAGCCAGCATTAAGCTTATAGGTCTACGTGTACATTGATTTATCTTCAAAAAGAGCCAGCATTAAGTTGATAGACCTCCGTGTACATTGATTTATCTTCAAAAAGAGGAAGCTTTAAGCCAATAAGTCTACGTGTACATTGATTTATCTTCAAAAAGAGGAAGCTTTAAGCCAATAAGTCTACGTGTACATTGATTTATCTTCAAAAAGAGCCAGCATTAAGCTGATAGGTCTCCGTGAACATTGATTTTTCTTCAAAAAGAGCCAGCATTAAGCTTATAGGTCTACGTGTACATTGATTTATCTTCAAAAAGAGCCAGCATTAAGGTGATAGGTCCCCTTGTACATTGATTGATCTTCAAAAATGGTCAGCATTAAGCTGATAGGTCTCCTTGTACATTGATTTATCTTCAAAAAGAGCCAGCATTAAGTTGATAGATCTCCGTGTACATTGATTTATCTTCAAAAAGAGGAAGCATTAAGCTAATAAGTCTACGTGTACATTGATTTATCTTCAAAAAGAGCCAGCATTAAGTTTATAGGTCTACGGGTACATTGATTTATCTTCAAAGAGAGCCAGCATTAAGTTTATAGGTCTACGGGTACATTGATTTTTCTTCAAAAAGAGCCAGCATTAAGCTTATAGGTCTACGGGTACATTGATTTATCTTCAAAAAGCAGCATTAAGCTAATAGGTCTCCGTGTACATTGATTTTTCTTCAAAAAGAGCCAGCATTAAGCTTATAGGTCTTCGTGTACATTGATTTATCTTCAAAAAGAGGCAGCATTAAGCTTATAGGTATCTGTGTACATTGATTTATCTTCAAAAAGAGCCAGCATTAAGCTGATAGGTCTCCGTGTACATTGATTGATCTTCAAAAAGAGCCAGCATTAAGCTTATAGGTCTACGTGTACATTGATTTATCTTCAAAAAGAACCAGCATTAAGCTGATAGGTCTACGTGTACATTGATTTTTTCATCGTCTCAAATTTCATCAGCTTTTGATTTCCATTTGTTGAGAATATGAACGAAATAATTAACACGTATAAAAGTCTTGTTAAAATCTTAACACAATTTATTTATGCATCACCACTCATAAAAGAAACAATAAATTATACATTTATGTCGAAATCAACTAATGGTTTTTTTTAGCAACTTATTACTTTTTCACAACACGTGCCGATTTATGACTATAGTTACAGACAGAAACTGTTTTATTTTTATTTGGTATCCTTACCTGTCAAACCTCGGTGACTTTAACAAAACTGAAATAAATTCAAGCCGGCGTTTCAGGATGGAACAGGAGTTGAGACATTATTTCGATATAACGACAATCTCAGTTACATCAAAGTATGAAAATGTTCTCTGATTTATTTTTATTTTGTTTATATCTAATACTTTATACATTTACTTAGATTAATCGTCAAATACCTAATATTATTTTTTTCACTGAAGCGATTACCAAACAGGTTTTTTTCCAAACTCGTCTCAATCACTCTTTTATGCCCTGAGGGAAGCACACAGAGGATTTAATTCCTAATTTGGAAGGAAGCCGAAATATCATGAGAAACCCCGCGTAGTCGGGCAGGTGACCGGGATCGAATCCGACCATATTGGTTAAGACGAGCGCGCTATCCACTGTGCACCTGGCCCAACATAGAAGTTATGTAAAAGAACAAATATCTACGTGAGCTTTGACTGGAAGAAAATGGTCTTTGACGCAAAAACATGAATATATGTTTACCAATTATACATGATATAAACAATATACATACGGGAGACCGGGGCAAGTTCGGTCACCCCTCATATTTTTGTTTTTGAGCTAATATTTACAACTTTAAGGAACATAGCTTATTATAGTTGGCAGCCACACGAAAAATGGTAAGGAAAACTCTCATATAAAATTACTCAACATGAGAAAGTTACTTTTAAATGGAATAATTACTTTTTTTACGGTCAGATAATATACATGAAAGCCAAGCCAAGCACTTATTATCATATTGCCGTACTTTAAGAATTTATTGAAATCTCAATATTAGGCCCGGACAAGTTCGGCCCATGATACCGGGGTAAGCTCTGCCCATGCAACATATAAAAAGCCGTAATATTGGCGGGGAAATCTGCCCTTGTATGCTTTATGACGTCATAATTAAGGGTGTCGAACTTACCCGGAATATCTGTCCAAACTTACCCCACGGCGGGGCTCATTTAGCCATATATTTTTTTCCAAAAAACGAACGTACTGCCATACTTCCCAGAACGGACTTTCATAAAATTGGCCGAACTTGTCCTGGGCCCAGTTTTTCAAACGGTGATTAGCATAATCACTGATAAGCGCAAATTTTATTTTTGTGTATCTTTAAAATATAACCATTCACCGAGTTAAAATTTACAAGACAGCTAATATTACATCAGAGTAAATTGCATGCAAAACCTATAGGATTTACTTTGTATAGTGACCAAATTATTAGAGATTGAAAAATGTCGTTAAACAATAATTAAGCTAATCACCTTTTGAACAACTGGGCCCTGGGCGCGCCTAATTGTTATGTCGGTCTTACAATTTCATTATAGCTTGTGTCATATTGTTATTCCTCAACTTGCCAACCTAAAGTTTATCTTGCGTCATTTTGAAATCAGTATTAACTTTTTTGGGAAATATTTTGCCATGATTGCTTCGATATCCAGGTGAGCGATACAGAGCCTCTGGGCCTCTCGTTCTTAACATTTTCTTCAGATTGGTAAGTACGGTTTGTGAAACGATTCATGTAGCACGAATAGTAAGTGTTGGTCAATTATTGGTTGTGCTACCAGAATCTTTTCACAAACTACATGTCGTTTGAAAAGAAAACTATAACGAGAAGATAAACGAGACAACGGTCTTTATCACAGCTTGTATGACGTCAGCTCATCCCAATCCATTTTGGCGGATAATAATCTTCCCTTTTGTATTGTTTATCCAGCCAGGATCCTGGTTTAGGATAATCCAGAAAGTACACAGTCTCTCCCCCCGCTAAAAAGGCGCCCCACCAACCATACGTACCGGAAGTGACGATACTATGGTTGCATTGGGCCATTATAGCAAGGTCTGCACCAGCATTTCCGGAAGTGGCAATTTTAACATCGTCATAATTTACCTTCGACCTCATCCAGGTTGCATCATCACCAATCAAAACAAAAACTGGATTTTTAAATTTCAACCGGAAGTAAGAAAGAGCTTTTTTAATGAATGACTCGTCTGCCACATTATATCCCCGGGACAGTTCCCGTTTACTGTTCATATCACCGCGACGGATGTGAACTCCAACAGTGACGGAAGCATTCAAAGCCTTTAATTTTGTGAAAGCCTTTTGATAAAGATCGGCCTTAAATCGAAAGGAGTTCCTAACATCTTTGGCTACATGATCAAAGTATTTCCAGGATTGATAATATCCCTGTAACGTCCAATTTTTCGAATGTGATAAGTTTTTTATTCGGGTGTCGAATGCGCCTGCGCGCTCTTCTCCGTGTCCTCGTGCATTTACCATAGTAATCACACGCGCCTGCGCAAGGTCAAAAATCTGCGTAAGTTTGTGATGGGGAGCCACAAACGGTGCGTAGTTATGCAAAGCGCTCACACCTAATAATGCCGCAAACTGAAACATCTGGTTACCAAGACGACCATTTCCTTGAACAGTCATAAAATGTGTTTTTCGGAAAGCCTCTGTTCCATTCCTTAAAAACGTTTCCGGTTTAGATGTTCTCTGGTATGTACTTTTCGTTCCATTAACGATGTTATAACGATATGTAGCATCCTCTTTCAAAACTCCTTTATTATGCACATTCGGAAAGTTTTGGGTTTTACTTATAATAGCAGGTAACATCCATCCGAGACCATTTCTTGTGGATCTATTGGTCATGTAAGAAGAATCCATAAACGACATATTCCGGATGTATTCACGGAAGAAGCCAGGTTTTTTTGTTAGTGCAGTGTACGAAATTACGTTGCTAATGACAACCAGGAATACGGAAACACCAAACGTGTACAACACGCATGTCTGGCACGATACGTGACATCGCCTATTCCCTGGGGATCTCAGCCTCCTTTTCATATCACAGCGATGGATCATCTGCTCCTGAAACAGATAAATTCACAATCAATTCAACTTATATCTTAGGTCAACTTAATTGACGAGTCGCCGCCTGTTTAAGTAGCTTTATTGATACCTGTCTCGCTGCAAGCAAAACCTTAGAAAGTTCCCCTAAACTTCGCTTTGGATAAAACTGTAGCGCGACTGGGCCATCCTCAACACTCGAAGGGTTACGCTCACATTCGTCCACTGCACCCCTGGAATATTTCATGATTTTAAAATACCATATAGATACATAATATATACACAAAATAGAAGGCGAAGTTTGCGTCAAATTGCAGATGAGACTAGAATACTATTTTATCTTTTTATGTACATCCTGTCTGTCGCGAAACGGTAAAAGTGACTGGCTTTGAAGTCGATTGTCTATCCTCTGTAATCTTTATCTAAGATCAATCCAATTACTAGCCGCGATCCTTCAATTCCACTATGAAATATTCCAGAGGTGCAGATAGCGAAATTGAGCGTAACCCCTGGAGTATTTACAATTACTGGGTGATAGCATTAGGTAAGCGTAAGCTTTGTAATGAAGAGGTCCTTAGTTCGAAACATGCAGATGTTGATTTCACGTTGTTATTTCCCTTTTCAAACATTCAAATATCGAACAACTGTATTAAGTTTAAAGACGGCATAGGTTTTGATTATACAAGCAATGGTTATTTTTGTTAATTAAGTCAGAGAGGCGGAAAAATGCACGGCCAGGCCGGGGTTCAATATCGGGACCCTCTTATCTCTAGACGGACGCTCTACCAACTGAGCTACCTGGTCGCCGACGACCTATCAATTCCAGTTCCGCTACATTTATAATGAAATAACTTACATATAGAAGTAGTAGGGTCCCGAGTTCGAATCGCGGTCTGACATTACATTTTCCTTTCTCCGGTTAAAATCATATACGAACGTTGCTTAGGCGATACACTTATAAATCATAAGTACTACTAAAAAAGCTTTCATTTTAACAATTAAATAATGTATACGGATCCTAGATCATCTGTTAAGGACTCACACAACTAAGTCAGTCAATCAGTAAGTGTTTCATACGATTGTAATTCCATCTAAAATGTGTTCCGGTCTAATACAGTGCCGTTGAGTAATTTATAAGGTAAATGTTGACATATTTTACATTGAAAGAAATCAACAGATATTGCACTTTAGATAAACGTATAGTTTTAGTAGATTTTAATATGTGATGGCGGATTGATATAGCGTCAAATGTCAGGGGGTGTTCCCGTCCGACTTCACCGGTTTGGCTTGTAAACTTCCAATTGTCAAAAAAAGACTGATTGATTGATTATTGATTGATAGGTTTTACGTCCGCTTCACTAGCGAGTAGTTCGGTTATCCAGCAGACGAAAAAAAGACAGGAGAATGAGTAGAAGGGATAAAGTATGGAGTGAAGGGATAGAAGAGGGGGACAGGTTAGTGAAGGAGCCGTCTATCCTATATGTATTAATTGTATAAGTCTAGTTTTTGTAAGACGACTCCTGTGTCTAATATTTGCCTTAACCTAACACTCGTCGTATAGTATCTCCAAGTCTGGACCGGAAGTGAGGTACTGAGCCGCCGTAAGCTACACCATCTCCTGCCTATTCTATGGAATTTGTTTGGTATATATATATATATTTTAAGTCCTTCTAAATGTCTAATAAAGAGAACCTAGATATATCGGCCGAAAACAAATCTAACCCTGTCCTCTGTGTCAGCGCTACTCGCCTACTCTTTTTCGAAAAAAACTCATAGTCCGATCCGACGGACTGTGTGTTAGCAGTTAGAGTCATGCATGTGCTGCTTTTGTGTGTGTGTGTGTGTGTGTGTGTGTGTGTGTGCGTGTGCTTGTGCGTGTGCGTGTGTGTGTGTGTGTGAGGGTATACTTTTGGGGTTGGTGTTTACTTTTATGTGTATGTGCTCATGTATACATCTACATTATGTATTCTTAGCTTTAACATCGCTGTGTTATCTGTTTTATAAAATTGGTTTGAGTATTTTGATTTATTGTATATTATTAATATTACCCTTATTAGCTGTGTCAGATTAACAGATATTGGTTATTAATTCAAGATTCGTTTATCTCGTTATACAAATGTAGCACTCCTTTACCCGCGCTAACCTTGTGGGGTCTTACGCCGAATGAGCGAAAGGACCTATTTTATGGGTCGTATTATACAGTTTAAAGTGGTAATAATAATATAGTTCTATCCTAATCTATAATCGTCGTTTAGGCTTTGTAAGTCTTAAAACGGCGTATCACTTCAGATTGAACATCCNATGTATACACACATATATATATATAATAGTATGCTCGATTAGCATACGATTGCTATGGGGTAGAAGACAGTCCTTTTTTAAAAAACGGAACTTCCCGCATGTGGCCAGAACACATACGTTTCAGCTTTCGTATATCAACCGGAAGTGTTAGGTTATTTGATTAATTAATAAAATTGGTTTGTGCGTTTTGCTTTATTGGATATTGTTATTATCACCCTATTAGCTGTGTCAGATGAACAGACGTTGATTATTAGTTCAAGATTCGTTTATCCCGTTATTCCTACCTAACTAATAGTTGTGAGAGTCCTTAATGCAATCAGATTGATACATTAACTTCCCTAACTGCCAGTTCACGCGATGGTATATTCCTTGTATAATTAATAGCAACTTTGTCACGTATCTGAACACGTATATTCCGTCTTTGCGTATTGCAGAGTTATCTTCTCTTGTGAACATGTATTGATTGTTACGTCATTGTTTTGTGTGAGAAAATTACGTCGTTTTCTCAAAAACTGATGACGTTACTCTCACAAACAAGCGACGTAACAATCAATACCTGCTCCCAAGAGAAGATAACTCTGCAATATACAAAGACGGAATACGCGAATTGGTGAAAAAACATAACATCAGTGTTAAAATTTAATTAAACACAGAGGCGTAACTAGCCTTCGTTCGCAGTGGAATCATACTGGTTATTACGACTCGATATATCGTTAAAGCGGGATAACTGTCTTGTTATAACGAATTAATATACCCGTTATAACGAGATATTAAGACGTTCTTACGAAATAACTAGCTATGATCAGATACCAATATTTACATGTATTTGGATGTTGGCAATCAGTCACCGCAGGGAGCAACTTATATTTTCTTCGAATTCATCTCAATGTGAAATTAAGCAGTTTTCTAAAAATAGGGCGGAGGCCAACAAAAAAAACATATTTTGTGTATCCGGTAACCACTTGTACCCTTCTTGTTTGTGCCTATACCTTACACTTTTAAAACAATTTTCAAAGAAGCACTGTTAAAGTCAAGATTACTCTGCAATATAAATCATATGAAATTATTTGTTAACATATTATGTTTAACCTACCTACCTACGCTAACTTGTCATGTTACGGGAAACACACATATATTGTTTGTCTGGCCTGAGTTGTTATCTACATACGATAGTGGGCGTGTTTTGTAGACAGAGTGTCAAGGTTACACGGCAAAGGAAGAAAAACTGAAAATAAAAATCAATTTTCAGCGATAGTGCTCACGACTAAGCTACAACTGAAACATCAAAGCTACATTACTTTACGGCTGTATTGGACAATGTTAAATGTCGGGAAGCAAAGAGTACGTGAATGCAATGCCACAGTGCATTTCGCTGATAGTATATTCTCAATCATCCTCGATACTCCAGGGGTTACCCTGACTTTCGCTCTCTGCATCCCTGGAATATGTTATAGCAAACTGCCATGTAAGCGATTTTGCTATATATGATATGTTTTGTATACATCGTATACATTGGTGTATATATAAATAAGCTCCAAAATCACGTAGCTGTGAAACAGGTGACCTCTCCCCGACAACTCGTCCCCTCCTCCCCACCGACAACTCGCCTCTTCCTCCCTTCTCTGCTCCCCAACCCTACTGGACAACTCGCCCTCTCCTCCCTTTCTTCTCCGTCCCCCTCCCGACAATACGCTAACCTCCCC